TATTGACTAAATCGTAACCATTGTTATATTGAATCTAATGGTACAGATTTATTCTTATTTCTTTCACTATCTACCATTCTCATATGATCCCAACCCTATATATATATATATATATCTTATATATATACAAACGAGTTTGGACAGTTGTGGTCGCGACACGTGTCCATTTTCGACCCCTACGTTGGTCGACACGTTTCCCCAAGGTGTCTTGCTTTATTTTCAATTTGGCCACTTATTTTGAACCGACTAAAACTGCCCGGTATTTTGAACCCTTTTTACCAATGATGCCACTTTTTTTTGGGTTGACTGGATTACCCTTTATTTTGACTGCTTTATTGGGTTAGTTAGGTAATTTCATGTTGTCGGTTGGTGCTACTAGACACGCAATCGCACGTTCTTTGGTAATTGCATTTTCCCTCATAGCCTTTTCCCGGGAATTCTGCTCAATCTATACTCCATCAGTCCAGTTCCATCAAAATCCTACCTAATGTGATTTCTCTGTACGATATCAATGAAGATTTCTTAATGAAAAAAGGGCAGATCTATTTTCTTCAAACACCTTCCAAACTTTACCCTTTCATCTCTTAAAGTGAAGATTGGTGCCCTATGGACAAGGAGTTTCTCAGATCGAAATTCAGATCATTGCCCAACAGGCAACAGCGGTGCGTCGTCGATTGTGCTCCCGCCGGTGCTGCTCTATATAGAGAACGCCCGAGCGAGTACCACAAGCTGTTTTACCTATGGGCCGCACACAAGGTCCTCCACCGACACACCAATCTTCGCAAGGAGCGACGACACGTAATCTGCCGTGAGCTGGGCGACGCCCCCGAACCCCAACTCGACCAACAGAGGGAGAGGTAGGGTTTTTAGTTTTGTTCGTTTTTACGATTTGTTAGATTCCCTCGGATGTTGTTTATTTTTTAGGTTTCGATGTCCATGCTATTTCTTAGGTAAGATTTCTTTTTTAAATTTTAGTACTTTTACAATTTTGGTGAAATTTTTAGGCACATTCTTTCTTCCTTTATCTATTTTTTTTTCTTTAAGGTAATTATTCTGATTCAATCGCACATTCTTTCTTTCTTTAGTTTGAGATTCATCGTGGGATTTGAGGTGTCTGCTTGAGTTTTTTTATTTTACGTTTCACAGATTGGAACGGAAACGTAGTTTTGATAGGGAAATGCGTTCCTTTGTCGTTTGAGGACATTGAAGCTAATTATGATGAGCTTAATTCTCTGTTTATGTGTTGTGTGAGATAACAGTTGTTATTTGTGTTTATAAATCTGAAGAGGCTCTGTGCTGGAGGTTCCATTGATTTAAGAAACAATGTTGCAGGTAATTAAATTTGTCTCTCGCTCTATCCTTCTGTGATGTGGTTAGAAAACGGGTCAGCGACTATTTGTTGGTTTAATACAACTGTTGGATATTTGCATTTTGTGGTTATTGGGATGGAATATGAGAATATTACCAGAATATGCAAGCATGAATTAGAGATGGTTAGTTGGGTAGTTGGTTATGCTCTACTGTTTGGGTCCTTTTTCGGTATGGAATTTTTCTGTATCATCAAAAGTGTATCGTGATGCGTATTGTTCTCGCTATTGTATTAAAGTGTCCTTTTTCTGTGTCATTTTGTTCTCGCCAAAAGTGTCCGTACGTTTTTCGTTCTTGCATGTGATTGTGGATTTTTATTGTTGTTTTACTGATTCAATTTTTAAAATTGTTTCAGTATTGAGGTTCAAAACCTCATCTACTAACTCCACCCCAGCCCCAAATCCAAAATTTTGAAAGCCAAAAAACCATAAAGGCGGCGGCGAGGTGATGGATGGCGGTCGGCAGACTACAGCAAGGAGCAGCTGCAACAGCGACAAGGCAGCGAGACCTATGAGCCCAACTGCTCATGTGCCTCTGTTTCTCTGCGAGATTTTAATATTTCAGCTTTCTGTTGCTTCTAGGTAATTTTTCCGCCTCTAAATTCGATGCGTTTGGGTTTGCAATTTAAAGTAAGGTTTGGTTTTCGCTCTGATGTTGTCACAGGTAGATGAAGAGGACGAGAAATCGATCATCCGGCAGGAGAACGATAAGCGCAGGGCCAAAGTGTGTCGCTTATGTCAGGTCTGCTCTCGTAAACCCCAAAATACCAAATCTCTCTCTGTTTACCTATTTCCTGTGCTACTTATTTATTGCGTGCAAATATCTAGCAATTTAAGATCTCTTTAGTATCATCTGTGTAATCAAATAAGGTTTAAGATATGACAGTGTCTCCAAGTGCAGCTCGCAGTTCAATTTCATTGTTTCTTCTTCATTCTATTTGAAGCTAGAAAGAGGGTAATTTTTTCATTAATTTCAGAGAGTCGTTGATCTGATGGGGGCGACGCCACAACGGCAGTGATGGTGCAGAAACTGCTGCTGTTGTCGCTCCTAAAACGATTTGGCCTTATATTTGGGTGATATTCTCTTTTAGTTTAAACTTTTTTTATTATGTGCTCTATGTTTCTTTCAGCACCTACGAACAGAAAAAGCTCGCTTTTGAATTTTCACAAACATTTAACGAGTAGTGTTTTGTAAATTTAACAGATCAAAAAGTGGTCTTTAACCGAGAAGAGAGTTCCAGAGAGATTTTGTCAGAGTTTCGAATACAAAATCTTTATAATGGCGTCTCCTATCATGAAATTGGTGGTCGACTCTAACCGCAAGCCCCTCGCCGCTCTTCGCACGAAAACATTGTCCAATCGCCTCAAGACATGCAGTGCTTTCTCTTTTAGGTATAGCTTAAAAATGTGTGTTCTCTGCCGGTGTCGTGTTATTTGACCTTTCTCTTATATTTTGTGATTTGGGAAACCAAGACTTCGATATGACAATATGTACAACCCGATGTACAATCTTGATGTGAAGGAGGGTGTTGAATCGACAAGCTAGATAGATCTTTGATGCGAGGATTCAGCGCCTCATACGCGCTCTGTACCTCTCCATGAAGCATGCCTAACTTCTAGAAGATCTCCAGGTATTCATTTACCGTGCTATGGATACGTGCCCCTGTGTCTGGAAGATCGAATCCTTGTTAGGTGCTAGAAGAATTAGGGAAATTTATAATTGATATGTGGATATGAATTTTAATTTTGGCTCTAACGTCTAGGTACTGGTATGTTTTGGAATTTCCGTTTTCCTCTTTTCTGGATGCCAATATAGTAAGTAGTGTGTACAATTATTTGTTTGATTATAGGGAGACACTTTGGCTGCTTTAAGTTTCTTATCAATCGTTAATTGTGGCGAGTATAATAGTTAATTTATCTCTTTTTTTTTGTGCTTCTGTTTGAGCTATTTAAGGGGCTTAATTATCAGCAGAGAGCCAACAACATTAGTTAGCTCACAGTGGGTGATTTTTTCTTATGCCCAGAGTTTAGTGTTTTGCGTTGTGGGTCATTTTCCTTGCGGAGTGTCTTGCTTTCATATGGTCATGTACACAAGGAAGTTTTATATGGTGAAAGAAGAGGCGGTTCTGAAGGGCAATTGAGAAAGGGCAATTTATTCTTATTCTTTTGGCGCCTATGCTATTTATGGTTTTATAGGAGGCGAAGATTAAATTTACTTGTGCAAGTCATTTTCTATGGGTAGCTGGATTGACAAGCTCTGATATGTTGTGGTACATCACAAATTTATAACGTGTGTTTATCTTCATTGTATTCCAATATTGGTGTTGATATGGTTTTCGGTAAACCAAGTTAGTAATCCTCATCAGGTCTTAATACACAATAATTAGAAGATTATATTCTCTCAGAGAATTGACATGCTCACGGATTTCAAAGTATTCACATATCGGGAGAAGACAGGCCAAGAACCGACATCCTCATCGACTGACCGACATCTCATATCGGTTATGACATGTCGGTTACGACATGTCGGTTATGACTTATCAAGCCGATATCTATGACTTTCCAAACTAACATTATAAGGCGGCACCAATTCAGCACAAGTCATCATTACGCCTTGCCAAGTGGCGTGCTACAAGAATGATTGGCGATCAGCCGCCATTGACTTTTCTAAATGTAATGATTATTCTGATAATGTTGTAAGAAAATATAAAAGAAAAGGAAGAAACTTCCAAAAGAGACACAGAGAATAATACAGATATTCCCGTTCAATAAACCTGGTGTTCTTTCAATAAATCGAATCTTTCTGAATACTCAACTTTTTTTTCTATTCCATAATCATTGTTGATTCCCATATAACAACAGTTTGGCGCTAGAAGGAGGGCCTTATAAAGTTTTTGAGGTTAACTTTCGCTGTTGTAGCCAATTATTCGCTCCAATTTGCCATGTCGCAATCCGGTCGAGATCATACTTCTCATGCTGGCCAAAGCCAATCTACCAATCATTCCCCAGGGCGTTCAACACCACCCCCTCCGGTCACAAATATTACAACCTTTCTTCAAAATCCAGAGTTTATTCAGGGCTTGACCTCTCTTATAGCTCGAGCTATGCCTAGAAACTCGAGTACTATACCATTATCTACACCGTTCCCTACAAATCCAACAGAACACCCAAATCTTACTCACCATATCCCTGAAACACATGCAGCGACATCACATGCTACGTCACAACCACGTCATACTTCTCAACATCGAGAGGAGTTGACTCGTATAGCCGTTAATCCAGTATTGAATAACCAGGTCGCGGAGGAACCTCCTGTTCATGAGATGACTGCTGAAAGCCATTCTGCTCACCATCACAGAATTCTGTCACGACCTAGACCTACCTCACCGGTGCCCGTGATCGTGAAGATTTACAGCGTCAAATTGAACGAAATCGCGTGTCAAGACATAGTGCGGAGGAAATAGAGGTTCTCCGTAAAAGATTGGCTAAAATCGAGACGCGACAGAAGTCACAAGAAGACTCTCCCCGACATGTCTCGACGTCGGGAAATGTTATTATTGAAGCTGATTCACCTTTAGCTCCCGAACTTACCGCGGAGGCACTTCCTGCCAAGATAAAAATTCCACAGATTGGCATGTATGATGGGACTTCGGATCCAGATGCGCACTTGGGTCATTATACGTCTTGGATGGATTTGCACGGTGCCTCAGACGCTTTGAGATGTCGGATGTTTTCCCTCACACTGGGGCCACGAGCGCAACAATGGTATTACACTCTTCCACCTCATTCAATTTGGAAGTGGCAACAGCTACGTGCAGCTTTCCGATCGCACTTTATCGGAGCCCAAGTTTGCCTTATCCCAAAAGAATCAATCACTAATATCATGCAAAAGGATGACGAAACTGTTAAGGACTATATATCTCGGTTTAACGACCGAATTCAGAACATGGAGCCCTGTCACCCTGAGACCCTGTTAGTGACTGCAATTGCTGGATTGAGGCCCAATTCGATGTTTCGTTGGACTCTATGTCAGAACAAGCCGGCTTCCTTTCAAGAATTTCTCGTACGAGCTCAACAATTCATTATCGCCGAAGAATCGATGTCGGTTCCCAGTTTCGACTTCTCGGTGAAGGAAAACAAAACTGAGCCAGATGCAAAGAAAAAGAATAAGAAGAATTTTGGGAAGGCGCAATATTGGAATTACTCGAAAGGTTACGAAAATACTCCGGAATCCAGAGCTGCCCGAGATCAATATTCCGACAATGTAAGGACAGGCTACCAAACTGTTTATTCCGCCGGAGCAGCCACAATATTTTGAAGAACTGAAAGGAAAGGGAATTATTCCTGATCCGAAACCTGTGAGAACTCCTGAAGATAAGCTTGACAAAACTCGATACTGTGCGTACCATAAGTCTCCGGGACATAATACCGATGAATGTCTCGGTCTTCTATCAGCCCTTCTACGTTTAATTGGGCAGCCACAACTTCAAAAGTTCAGAAATTTTGATAATCGCCGGAAAGGAAGGCCCGTAAATCTTTCAGATGAAGAAGATGATGATAATCGGGCCGTCAACCCGAAAAGAGTCCGTGCGAACGACAAGGAGGTTTTTACATTTTCCACTCATGATGGTACTTCGACCAACAACTGCAAGAAACCCAAAATGCATGATGCATGAAACTCTTCTCACTGCATACCTCGAGTAAATTCTAACACCAAACAGTTGGACACATCTTGGCGAAAAGCTAAAGCATATGCCCGGGAAGCAAGTTATGAACATTGATCTTCGAGATACCATTAATAAACGAAATTGCCCCATCACATTCAGCATCGAAGATGCCAATTTGTTCGCTCATCTTCATTCTGATGCTCTCATTATTACTGCTCCGATTGGAGGAATCCCTGTTCACCGAATCATGGTTGATACCAGAGCGTATTCAAGTATTTTGATGTTTCGCACTTTCAAGAAATTAGGTTTGGATCCTGCTGATATCAGGCCTTGTAACGACCAGATTCAAGGCTTCAATGGAAGTATTTCTTGCCCTCTTGGTCAAACTTTACTCTCCATTTGATTTGGTGGGTTCGGACCAAAATCCAAGATCATTATGGAAACATTTAAAGTCCTAGATATTCAAAATGAGTACAATACTGTTGTAGGACATACCGCTCTTTATAAACTCCATGCTGCTGTGTCAATTTTTCATTATGCCCTGAAATTTCCCACCATTGAAGGAGAAGGCACTCACTATTGAGATCAGCAGGAGGCGCGAAACCTGGCGTTGGCCTCAACTTCGTGTAATCTTCATGTATGCGAAGTACAGGAAATGATAGTTCTATTAATCTGAAAGATCCAACCTTCTCTGATGCCAAAATGACAGATCAATCTGCTTCAAATATCGACATCTCCTCTGTACCTGATACCGATATCCCTGCGACATCGGATTTGCCTGAAACTTTGAATGGAGCCCTCGACCAAGAACAATCTCTTCACGAGGAGGACATGAAAGCGCACGAAGATATAGATCCAAGGATGCAATTCAAAGACAAGAGTCATCACATTCGGGCGGAACCTGTTGAAGCTGTCGAAATTATTTACGTAGATGAGCTAACCCAAGAAAAATCGTTGTGCATTGGAGCTAGTCTTCAAGAACCCACACGTTCGCACTTAATTCAATTTCTTCGATCAAATTTTGACGTATTCGCATGGAAGCATGAAGATATGAAGGGAATAGACCCGCAGAAAGCGTGTCATCAGCTGAATTTGGATAAGACTGTCAAACCTGTCGTACAGAAACGTCGAAAATTCGGGCCAGATCGTCAGAAGGCTCCGGAAGAGGAAGTGAATAAACTTATAGACAACAAGTTCGTTAAAGAAGCCAAATATCCGACGTGGATATCAAATCCTCTTTTGGTTAAGAAAACTACTGGTCTTTGGCGCCTATGCATTGATTTCTCGGATTTAAACCAAGCATGTCCGAAAGATAGCTATCCAATTCCACACATCGATTACATGGTAGACGCTTCGGGACATCAGCTCATGAGTTTTTTGGACGCTTATTCCGGTTACAATCAAATTCCCATGCACCCCGATGATGCTGAACACACTTCGTTTTATTCGGCCCGAGGTCTTTATTGTTACGTCATGATGACTTTTGGATTGAAGAATGCTGGGGCCACATATCAGAGGTTGGTCAACAAGATGTTCGCTCGTTTGATCGATCATACGATAGAAGTTTACGTAGACGACATGTTGGTGAAATCGGAACAAGCCTCCAGTCATATCGCTCATCTTTCCAAAGTCTTTGATATCCTTCGAGAATACTCAATGGTGCTTAATCCTAAGAAGTGCACCTTCGGGGTTGGATCAGGAAAATTTTTAGGATACATGGTGAGCCAAAGAGGAATCGAGGCTAATCCCGTCAAGATTCAGGCCATACTTGATTTGGCTCCTCCGACATCCATCAAAGGTGTCCAAGCTTTAACTGACTGACTAGCAGCTCTAAATCGATTCATTTCAAAGTCGACGGATCATTGCAAGCCTTTCTTTG